AAATTGAAAATGTTTTGCTAAAAGCTGCAATTATTGGGAAGATTTAATGAAGTATCACCCGAAACTATTAAATGTAAGAATAAAAAAATGATAATCATGATATGAACACGGATTAATCCAACAAGAGGGGGAAGTTGAGAAATAAAAGATAAACGGAATGAACTAAGATCGAACTAAGTTAGGGCCAAGGTGGAGACAAAGACTGTTCGTACTTCTTTTGCACACAAAGGTCAGACTTGAGTTCATGGATAGCTAAGGCTTCCTCTGTTTTAGAAGTTGAAGATGGAAGAAATATGAGATATTTAATCGAATTGGATGAAACACCTTGAAGCCACTGTTGGGATCGGTTGAATGGTTGGCGTCGATTAGATTTTCAAGTATATAACTTCCATCCTTATAAAACCAGACTGGAGTGTGTTCTCGTATACGTGTCGACACTAACCTGTGGCTAGGCCACGGGTGATTTATCTTGCTCCACAGGAGCAGGTGAATTGGTAGATATGCATGCAGGTGGCCTGTCAAGGTATATTATCTTTTACACAAATGGACGACAGTTTGCGACTAGTAAAAGTCAAATGAAGTCTGCCTAAGTAAAAGGTCCTACTAATTGATGTGGAAAGAAGATTTATCAGGGTGTCTGATGCTACATCACCTTTCAGTTTCAGATTCATGAACAAATTAGTTTTAGAGACTGAGTTGATGACTGATTTCACATGTCTTTCTCACATATTTTAATCAACATATCTGCAAAGTTTTTAAGGTTAGACTAACTTGTCATTCATAAGTTGATATCAGCTCAGCAAGCATTGATAACAGCTGTTGATGAACCTCCAGTTTACTGTCTGATTTTTAAGTCTAACCCATGTAACCTTCGAGATGATAGCAGCACATCCGATACTATGTGATTGGTCATGCATACACACATACACTATATATACATAACCTGAAGTCTTATTCCCACACTGACCAGTTGAATGAATGACTTCACAATTTGTCAGACACTAGACAGTTACTTTAACGTTCTGTTTTCTTCTTTCCGCTGAAAAAAAACTACACTACGTCATCATTCTGGATAGTTGATATCACACATGCCATTTTAATAAGTTGAATGGTTTTTCTTCATACATTTAGTCATATTAAAATGTGTTTGTAAAGAAAACAAGTAGCAAACATGAAAAGGAAATAATTTCTGTCATCATCGTTAAACAGGTTGCCTTTGTTTGTTGTTTACTTTCGGTGTCTTTTGCGCGCTCACCCGCTTAAAATCAACTCCACCAAAGAAACCTATCATTAACCAGTACTAATATTATTATTACTAATAATTATCATAGAATTATTCTTTTTTATTTTTCTACTCTCTACCCTAAGCATAGAATAGGAGAGGAAGAAAAAAAAACGAGTCTATAGGTTATGCCTATATTGATCAATAGATTTTCCGAATATTCAACACCATTATTTCCTATTTTATTTTGTTTTATCGAAGCTTTGAAATAAGGAGTAAGACATAGACACAGATAAGTAGACAAAGAGATTGATAGAAGGTAATGCTTTTGTCTTAATCCATTCATTTCATAAAGGGAGCTGAGAAAAAACATATTCTCTTCTCTGAACATACGAGTACATGCATGTAACACTTATATGGGTATGATAATTAGGTGTAAATGATGTTATGTATTGAATGTCAGAGAATAATTACATTTTTTCGAATATTGTCTAGTATTTGTTGTTGTTGTTTTGTTTTTTTTGGTCGTGGAATTAATTCTTGTATTCATATGGAAAGCAGTCATGAAGTTCATTTATTGAAACATCTATTTTTCATGTTTATTATCACAATATCTTTCACTTATTGAACATTATCAACTGAACTTGCGTCTGGTTAGCAGTTTGGTTTACCCTTGATTTCTTCATTCCATCATCTAGGGTATCACTGACATAGATAAGTTGGAAGTCCCTGAAGTTATTTTTCTTGCTTTTGCTATAGATCTGTTGTCTGGAGAAAAACTTTTGAACCTTGAGTATATGAATAATATCGTCTGGCCGTTTGAAAATATATAAGTCACTCCAAATACCATTTAATCAGTTGGTGGTCAGTGTTTTGCGTGTATGATGTATACTTTTCACCTTTGAAATGCTTAGTCCTTTTGCGGAATCCAGAGCCTCGATTCAACCTTAAATATTATTCGTCCAAAGTATTCAAAAAGTTGTTTCATGAAAGATACTACTAATGAACAGCTTGAGTAGTTGGGTTATCTGTAAATTTCGTCAGCTGGATTAAAGTAATCTAAGCGCTGAGTCGCTCGTTTGGGGTCGAGTTCATCAGCGATATGTCCAGGCAAATTCAGCCCATAGAGCTAAATTAGTTCAGAACACCTGAATCTGGCTGACTTGCATAGACCGGTATGCCTAAAATAGGATGATCAATTTGCAAATGAATTACAAATTTCACGGCCCACGTTGATATTTCTTACAACTAAGTAGTTTTTTCAACTGCCTAACTATGGTATCAACAGGGTTTCCTGTGAAAACCACTTAGTCGAGATCATAAGATATGATCTCTGACAAAAAAGTATCATAAACTAGCGAAATATACTACTGATGAACTTCTTGAGTAGTTAGAAACCACTCAAGTTGATGTGATATTTCGCTAGTTTATGACACTTTTATGTTAGTGATCACACTTCATGATCTTGGCTGAGTGGTATCTAGTGAAAACCTTGTTGACATCATATTTGGGAAGTTGTTTTATGTTAGTATTGATATGGGTGCGACATTTGAAGTACCCTATCGTACGTAGAATTCTCCTTCAGGATAAGTCCATACACTGTTGAAAAGTTATATTGTAAAAGGTTGACTGTACAACGCTCTGGTCTCTCCAAGTTTCAATGACTTGGATGAGTTTTATGGACGTTGTTGGTTGTCTCCACGGCTTCCATTTCATTCACTATCAGCTTTCCATGTAACAGATTGAATAACGGAGAGATGTGGTGATTGTATGACGTGGCATCGTGCAATGAATATTAATTACTTTGCATTGATATTTTTTAGTACATCATGACTTCCTGGGTGGTAAAATCGAAGAGATCATGCCACCTAACGGCTCCAGATGTTAACAAATATGCCTCAGAGTCAAAAATAGACTGTTTCTTTGTCTACTTTTGTACCTCTCTTTTTTCTTACCTTCTCTCTGGGTCTATTTATATCCTCCTGATGTTTTTTTATTATTTCATATGTTTATGGTGGTGTATATGCTGCTCCCGGGTTAGGTTCTAAGTAGATACTCCGATCTGAAGTTTTAATGATCCTTCTCCTCAGTACAGTGAAATTTTATTAGTTATGTCTTAAATCGATGCTACTAATGAGTCCACTGTAGTTTTCCTTTTCCTTCTACCTAAACACTACTAGAAGTCATCAGTTTCAAGCAAAAAAATGATGAAAGCTTCCTTGGTTGCATTTTTCCTGTCCGGATGTTTTTCTTTTCTGCTTATCTCTCATGTCACACTTTTTGATTGCTTCAATAGCATATGTACCGTTTCTTTCCAACTCTTGAGAGATTGTCATGAATGTATAACAGAGTTGGATATCAGATATTAACAGGTTACCTGTAAACACTTTTAAGGATGAGTCTATAACTTTTTGTTGGTGCATTTGTAATTCTCCGTTGTTTCGCTAGATCGAATTGTTTGACGTCTCTTGGTTTATGGGCTCCTATGTCAATACCTTGGTATTGCCCGAATATTTACTACGGTAATTTACTTGGTTGTGGCTAGCAGAAGAATCCAGGACTAGCGTTTCGTCAGCTGGATGTACCTGCACCCCAATGAGTGATGTTCCGACTGGGAGTCGAGCCCCGCGTCCATCGCTCCAAACGCCAGAGCGTTATCCACTAGGCTACTGAGGTACGACAGCCGCCACCCGTTATACAAGAGGTGGCTATTGTACCTCAGCAGCCTAGTGGATAATGCTCTGGCGTTTGAAGCGGTGGACGTGGGGCTCGAGTCTCAGTCGGAACAACGTCACTCATTGGAGTGCAGGTACATCCAGCTGACGAAACGCTAGTCCTGGATTCTTCTGTTAGCCACAACCAAGTAAATTACCGATGACAGTCCATGATTATAATATAACGTGATGAAGCTGTTTACGCAGATGTACATGTATGTTACATAGTATGTTCTTTGATTCTTATTGCTTTCTGATCACCCCAAAATTATGGCGGATTATTGAAATCTTAGTGTAGTAATCATAATGGAATTATGTTTGATAACATGATCTTTAGAACCCTAGATTCCTTATTCATTGGATATAAAAGTGAATATGCGATAGTAGTCAGTGCTTGAGTCTAATTCTGAGTGTATGAATCAAACTTTCACCTTTAACTAGATTTAAATACACTTACAGATTTCCATCTCTAGTTCTGTTTCCTGAAATGAAGTTGATATTTTACCTTATCGGTTGAAAAACTTCATGATATACTATCTCCGACTGAAACAGCTGTGTAATTAAAGAGCTTATCCTCTTTGTCTCCAGCTATATCATAAATTCATCTTTAATGGTAATACTCCATGTGATAGGTAGTTAGCTGGTTCATAGAAAAAACTTCATAAAGGTGTATATACTTGACTGTAAGCTAGATATAATGTGTGAGAAGGCCTATGATCTTCACTGACTAATTATACAACGTGAATTAGGGTGGAATAGGTGTGAACTCTTGATTAAATAGTTGGTTGAGTAAATTTTAAAAAAAGTGTATTATAGATTTCATGGTAAATCAGAATAATTCCACAGATAAAACGTTCTTTCCATTCCTTTAGGCATAGTTTTCAGTTTAATAACATGTTCCAAGTTTCTATTGATAATTAATTGTTACAATAATATTTTCTTCCTTTGCAAAATGACTTTCTATGGAATTATTATTTACCATATGGTAATTGATTGGCTGAACTAAGAATACCTATGCTTAGTGACGCTTCACTTTAATTCTTTTTTCTCCTCATTTTTTTTAGGTGCTGCAGCAGCAGCAGCTGCTGCTGCTTTTGCTCAAAATCCAACTACTTTATTGTCTTCCTCTACACCGTCACATAACAATAATAATAATAATCATAATAGTATAGACAATTGTTTATTGGTTCATTCATCAGATAGTTCAATGCAAACCCACAATATCACATTATCAGACTCTAGTGAATATGAAAGCATGAATTGTGGATACGATGTATACGCATGTTGTTCAGCTTTGTGTATGTCATCCTCTTCTTCATCATCTTCAAGATGTCCGGCAGCAACACATTCAAATTGTTTATCTTCTTGTTGTTGCTGTTGTTGCAGTAATTGTTGTGGATATAATGGAGGTGGTGACAGTCGTGGTGGTTGTGGAAGTACTAGTGGTTGTAGTGGTAGTACAAGTGGTATTGGATCGAATTCTTCAAATCTCTCAATTAGTAGTCCTACTAATAGTAATTGTTCAAGTATTAAACGTAAGTCATTTATCAGTGAGTGTTGTTCGATATTTGTCCTTCTTGAAGTTATACATGTTTCATCGCTTTTGTCCTACTGATCTCCTTCTTTGAAAAATTAAGATTTGAAATATAATTGTTGAATCAAAGTGATAAACTGATTGTACCAACGTATAATATTGTACGGTTTTATGTTATTTATTAAGCTATCTGAGAAAGGCTCCGTTCGGAAGATAGGTCTTAGTGTAAAGGGATAAGTGACTTACGTTGAAAGAAATTGTGGATTCGAACCAGTGATCTCTGATTTACTCCATCTATGCTTGCTCGATTGAGTTATGTTACGTAACTGTTGGTCGGATTTTAATATCACTTCGACCACCAAGAGTTTTAACCAAATGTTCTACCAGCCAATGGTTCATAACTGTCCATTTTGCCACCTCGTCATCATGATACTAAGCTATCTGGCCAGATCTAAATTACAACCAAATTGTGGCTGTTTAAACATCGTAAAGGCACTTATAACCTGAAACCAGGTGCTCATTCACTTTTAACGATTATATCTCAGTAGTAGATCACCGTATGTCATACTCCTGATCTATATACTCACTATTTAATGACTGACACCTGGACAACATGCAGACATCAAAGCTGACTCATGTCCCAGGCAAATATGTTATATCCATGCCAAGATTTCTTCAAGGAACAGTCCATTAGAGTTGATCCAACTTCTGGATTCAGTGAAGTTGTTAGTGTACTTAACTGTTCCAGTCCCTTTCCATAAACTTGGTGTCGTTTCAGAGTATTCTGTCTGTCACTCCAATTCACAAATGCATATTAATGACTGACTGTATTCATTTGTCAAGCCCGGTTACTTGTACAGTCGGTTGTACAAACAAGTTAGAAGTGAAGAATTTCACTTACTAACTGTATGCACTCAGTAATTTGATTTATTTCAATGATGGTTAGACTTTCCATGATACATAACCTACCTTATCAATGAGAGAAACGTTTACTTCTGTAATTCCCTTCGTTTGCCTTGTTATTATTATCATCTTTATCAAACTAACTTCCGTGTATAAAATATATAGACAGACAAAACGTTGACGCCCATTTCGTTTTCTTTAAGCCTGCTTGCTTCTTCGTCTCGTTTTCTGAACCTGTTGTACTGTATTGATTGTTGCTTTTGTATATATATATATATATATATATATATATATATATATATATATATATCCCTTCTCTATTAATGCATATATATATATATATATATATATATATATAACTTTTTTTGCTACCTATCTGTTTTGCATTTCATCATCTCTTCATTCCACTACTCTCTGCTACCTCTACTACTACTACTACTACTACCGCCATCACCAGAAGCAGTTAAACATACCTCTCTGTGCAAAGTGTTTCATTACTCTAGTGCTCAACTTGTTACTCTTATTGTTGCTAAGATTAGTAGTATTCACTGTAATAACATCAGTAGACTGCATAAAAGTTTTTTTTTTTCAAGAATTTCTCTCTTTATCAAAAATTCAGTCCTAGTGTAAAGAATGGTAGAAGGGGACCAGTATGGTAGATAATATTATGATGTAAGATACTGTGGCATCAGCATTCCAAAATCTGTTTAATTAATTGACTTGATATGAGGTAATAAGGGTGAATAGCTGTTACACAAAATGGGATAAACAATATTGTTTGTTTTTTGTTCCATTTTCTACTTCTCCACATATTCTTTCCAAGTTTTGCATGTTATTCTTTCTCCATTTCAATCAGTCACTAGGTTTGAAGATATAGTTTTCACATCAAGAAGTAATAAAACATTTTCGGTATTCCTTAAAATAAGTGAACTTCAGATGGCTGTTATTCTTTCATATCCTGGAGATACTACTTAAATTTGTGGACTATATTCTTGTTTCAAGTCTTCAGTAGTCCCTTACTTAGTGCTATTTCATTTTAAGCTTATCCTGATGTGTTGCAACGGTGAATCATAAGCCCTAACATAGTAAGTATATGGTTTATAGCCTACTGGATAAAACATGTACCAGGCTGAGTCGGATTACTTTATATTGTCTCGATGTGGTGATATTGGTTTGAAAATTATGTTTACAAAGGTTCTACCATCCTGTAAAGGTTTATTGTATGATTGTGTAGCTGTCAGCTTAACTTAGGCTATGTAAAAATGGTGAGCGTAAAGTTGTATTACCAACTGTACTGAATTATCACTTTATTAAGGTATTTTCTTTTAGTAGCCAATATCTTCAGTCAGACTGTCGACTATACAAGCTTTGCATTTCAACTTTCCATTGTTAACAGTTATATTCTTTAAGTATTGCCCCACCCAGCTCTGTAACACGAATGTCTTTGAATGATCTCGAATCTACATCCTTTAGGTTTTATGTGTTCATTCCATGACAGTCTCCTTCTTTAGATATACCAGGAAGTTATTCATATTTATCTTATCAGACCATACCTTGCAACGCATAAATTTCTCTTGATTGTCAACAACCGCTTTTATTCATATCCATTCTTTTCCTGTGCAACCCTTGTCAGTGAAATATCTTTTTAGTCTTCTAAAACTACACATTTAGGTTTCATATAGATTTGGTCAGTAGATCTCATTAGCCAAAGTGTTGATGTCATTAATGTATGTTGGGCTTCATAGACACTTAAATAAAATTTTAATCCAAATGTTCCTTGATCCAACCTAGTCAGTAGGAAAAATCTGTATGATTTACCCTTTAGTTGTTCAAGGGTTCAACAAACATCTAGAAGTTAGTGGGGATTTATTGATTTCAAGGACTATTGAATCCTGATGCAATGACTCAATAACAGCGTACTGGCTATGATACCTGAAGGTCTTGGGTTCGATCGAGGGCACGGTCATGGGTGAACACTACTGTGGACGAAACAGCTATCTAGTTCTCCCAAGTTTTCAACAGTTCTCCAACGGAAGTCACTCCATGATGAATGGCAACATAAAATCTAGAAGGAAAACATTAAATCTTATGAAGAAAGATACATTTCTTGTAAATCACTTGTATTCTCCACGACCCAGTAATTTTCAGTTTTATTTACCATTGAATTGTATTCATTTTACTGTAGAAACAGAATTGAAGACCAATAAATGATCTCAAGTTGGTCCCAAAGTAATCGAAACATAGAGATGATATTCTGGTTTTTTTTTCGTTGTATTGTTGTTCACTACTTACTGTCTTGTTCTACAATGTGACAGAATCTATTTGCTGTTAAGTCAAATTGTTTTATCGTTTCAGTTAACAAAGATCCTTCTCCATTATAATTTCCACACGGAAATCACTTAAAATTTAAGATTTATGTAAACCGATTTCTATTATGCTGCACAAAAATTCCTCCATCATTCTGTATACAAAATCTCAGTCAATGATTACACAATTATTGTAGATGACAGTGCGCTGCATTAACGAAGGTAACAGTAAGGAATGAATCAGGTACAAGTTTATTTTTTCTTTTTTTGTTTTAATGATGTGGTCATCATCTTTTCCAGGAATTCCACTTCGTTATAACTTTTCAAGATTCTTCATCTGAAGTAGATTTTGACGTCACACTAGGTGTAACCAACCTAACTGATTGGTGTATACTGTTAGGTATCATTTACTTGGGTCATTCTAAATGTAGGTTAGTGGTTTAAGCATTTCAAGTTCCGGATTTCAGTCAACCTGAGTACACAACTGATGAACTGAATCCCAAACTAACAAAATAGTCTTCTGACGTTTAAATTTAGATGTAACCGGTAAGCACTACGGATGAGTGTAAGTGATCTCTAATTAGATGTGTTCATTGTCATTATGTACCATGTAATTACATAATATTGTTCGATTTCTTCATAGCCTTTCTATTTCTTCCTTTTTGTATGGTCATGAACACATACACGCATACACATATCTACAAATTTAGATAATACATGTAGTAATAGAAAGCAGAATAATTCTCCAAATAGTATAAATGATAAACCAAGTGGAATTAACAATTTTTCCACAGATATCAGTTGTACCATTCAACAATCATCCCATCATCACTATCACTGTCGACGAGTTAATGAATTTCGTCATCCCCAACCACCACAAACTAGTCAAACAGTTGGTTGTATTACATATCATAATACAAATGGTCGTGAGAAGAATTTATCTTCATCTATAAATGGTATCTCTAATGACTACTGTGACAATATAAATACAACTAATAATAACAATCGAATATCTTCTGTTTCATTAATCCAAACGAGCTCAATTGTGAATATGAACTGTAGTGATTTAAATGTGCATACAACAACTAAGAGTACAACCACAACAGTCTCAACAAGTACAACAACTATTCCTACACGACGTTATAATCGTAGAGTTGTCCTACCTCCTGTAAGAATGACACATAATCCTGAAGTGGATTCATTATTACGTGAAATAATGGAGAGGTAATTCTGATAATTATATGTATATATATATATATATATATATATATATATATATATATATAACACTTTTTATATATAATTCCTTCTATTACCCTGTCGTTTATTCGACCGGATTAATCGGTCTACTAAATCCGTCTCGCAAAAAGTGGCTATTGTGACTCGATGGCTCAGTGGATAACGCTCTGGTATGTGAAGCAACCGGTCCCTGATTCAAGTCCTAATGGGAATAACAACACTCACTGGGAGGCAGGTATATCACGCTGACGAGTCCCCATATAGGACGAAATGCGCATTCTGGATTCCACTGCTGGCCACTATCTATCATCACTATGTAAAATACAAACGTATACATATATATGTATGTTCGTGATGGCCTTGACTATTTCTAAGCCTTTCTAGAATGGCACATCCTATCGATTTTCATCTGTTCAACGAATCTGGTATTTACAAGTTGGTTCATGAGCTTTTTTCGGAACTTCGGTGCAACACGGTTGGTTGTAAAATAAGTCAAGGCTTCTTAAGAGAAGGCTTGTGCAATCTTTTTGCCCAGAGTAACACGCCTCAGTAATCATTCTTGTTACAAATTCACAAAAATTTGTGTTGGTGATCATTTTGTAGACAAGTATACGCCTGTCTTGGTTGTGGTCTATGACTTTAGATGATGTGACTTCGAACCGACTGCAGTAGTGTCGATAAACTGACATCATATCTCTTGCTTAACCTTGAAGCACTTTTTCCGTTTTCATCTTTTTGCTTCCGATTACCGTTAATAGTATTATTCACATCTTATTGTCTTCCTTCCTTGCTAACTTTTGTCTGAATATTGTACTACGCTTGTGTGTGCTTGATTGGAAGATGAGGATGAAAAGTACGTATCTAAGGAGGAGATAGCTAAGCATTTATCTGAACGTGATAGAAATCTTCATCCTGAGGAAATCTGGCGTGTATACACTCTTTGACATCATCTAAACGTTAATCATTTTCAGCACCATACTTTTTTCACATCCCCTCTCCTCCCATACACTTCTGTCTACTGTGATATCAGTCTTTTTCCATCCACTTGTTCTTTTCTGAGTAGTGTGGCAAATTGAGTAGACGCCCCTTTGTATGGAGTTCTACTTTTATTACATGATCAAGCGAACCAGTTGAAGTGAGTTGGCAAATTTAGAGATAAACTATTGGCACGAATACAGAAGGTCCGACTGCACTTTTTCACTATACCATCATTTATAGAATTGGTGAAGCACATGAATATTTAATCGGGGTGGAAAAAATTGCCCGTCAGTGTATCCGATACCCATTCATTTCGTATCACACCATTACTGAAGCCCAAGTAAGAAATACTGAATTGTACGTCAATTCTTTCTGTCCATCTCTATATCGAAAGCAGTTTTTTCAAGTTTCCGCAAACGGTTCTCTAAAATCTAAGCAATTATTTCACATTAGACATGAACACTTGTTTATTATGTATGAGTGGATTACAAATAATAGTTGAAAGGAAATTCGACTTTGCCAAACGAGTAACAATGTGCAACCGCTGACACCAGATCACGATTTTACACTAAACGTGAAGTTTTGTGTCCAGTTATATCGTACGAATTAAGTACAATTTTAACTAAGATTGTCATTGTAAGAGTAGCTGTTGTTAGTCAATAAATAACTCAGATCCAATGATAGGATGTGTGTGTCTTTTAATATCTTTCACAACACATCATGTTTGTGAATCAGTTGTATGGGTGCTGGTGGTGCTACTGATGAAATTTCCACACTTAGGACACTATTGTAAAGTTAACTTTGTGATAGAAGATCGAGTATATAACGTGTTACACTAGGCTTTTCTTCTCCATGTCTGTAAAACCTTGAGTTACTGACCTAGGGACGTCCAGCGACTGTATTTATTCGATCACCGTTGTCTCTGCAGGACTGCTCACACGGTGGAAAACCCGAGTTGATACGCTATGTGTTTAGGTGCGATCGAGAATGTCATTTATTGACTGTGGTCATCTTTAAACACTGGCATCAATGTCCTGGACACGTGTTACAAATATCTCCTCAGCAGCTCTTATTCCACTCACTGTTCGCTTGCCCTTGTACTGGTTGGATGAAACTGATGGGTAGCCATTATATGATGTGACGCCATGCAACAAACGATAGCTCTATTAATTCAGCATTTGTCAATACCTTACAGCTCCCTGAGTGGGGTCTGTGAGATTACGTAACTCAACGGCTTGACTGGTTATCTGACATAGGGGAGAATCAAAACCATTAGTAACTATGCTTCAGCTTCCTTGTTTCTTATGTTATCAGTAAGTAAAACGTAAACAGTGAATGCTTTTTTCAGATGTACTTTTGAAATTGCTATTTCTCTCTTTTGCTTCCATTCTTTTTCTCCTGTTCTTCCTTAGTGTTACTATATGATTTTATATAGCGCATCTCTTCCAAGTAAAAGAGATGACTGAAGAGGAATTTCAGCTTTCATTGATAGTCTCATAAGACAATGTATGGAAGTGAACCGTTAGTTTAGGCGCTTAAATTTTAACTAACTAATGTATTACGACTGTAAATCATGCTTCCTGTAAATCTACCTGAGATGTGATCATCAGTCTTTTAGTTTCGCTGAATTGACGGTATAGGTGTTGTATAACATCGAGCCTAGTTTAAAGGTATGTCAGTGACTGCTGAGTTGCATGTCAAATTTGATTGAGTTTGGAAGTTCTTTTTGTTTGTTTTTTTATTCTGAATGTCAATCAGAACTCATCATTATAAATAAATTGAAAAAGTAGGATGCACAGAAATGACTTTACACATATATACACACTTATTTCAATCTATATTTAACTATGTTGTTACTTGTATTACCCTGTCGTTGAGTGGACCGAATTGCTCGGTCTCTATTAGCATATGGGCTCGTGTGTAGATGCCTCGATATTACCTGTATTTGAATTATATATTAATGATGGATAGTGGCTAGCAGTGTGATCCAGGATGCGCGTTTCCTTCAATTCGGGACTCGTCAGCTGAATGTATCTGCCTCCAGTGAGTGTTGTTCCCACTGGGCCTCGAACTTGGGACCGACCGCCTCAAATGCCAGAGCGTTATCCACTAGATCACCGAATCACGTCACTCACTTCTTGTGCGACGGGTATAGTTTTAATGTTGCTACTTGTATTATCGCTCGCTAGGATGCAGCTACATCCAGCTGACGAGTCTCAAATAAGACGAAACACGCGTCCTAGATCCCAGTGTTAACCACTATTTATCATTAGTGCTTAACTATGATTTGATATGTTTTTTGTAAAGATATTTAGTTTTATATTTTAGGGTCAGTTAACAGGAAGTCGTAAACATTAGTTTCGGCACTACACCGTACTAATCTCCAATCTTGACCACTCAAGGATACAGATTTGAATCTACGAAAAAATTTGAGTTTTATCAACGATTGCAGATACATCTTGTTGACTAGCGCCAATGAGCATGAAAGCTTCTTCCTGGGTTTATTGATTTTTAACAAACATCACTAAAATATGGTGCACCATACTGTGTCGCATTACAACAACCCAATGTCCATACTGCAAGTATTATGGATATATTTCAGTCAGCACGTAGCCCATTGAACATGATAGTTACCTAGACTATTAGTTATTATTAACTAAGTCATGAAAATGGAAAATGTACTTGACCTGAAAAGTGGTTAGCAGTTGGATGAAATTATCGATAAATTACGTAGACGAAGACTATTCAACATTGCTTGATTGTTAGTTATTTATATCCATAATATTCACCTCTACAGTATTCAGGGGGGACAAGATTAACGAGCGGTAAAAGTGTTTCGCTGTTTTTTTGGAGGGAGGATGTAACCACTAAAGATTTTAATCATCATAATGGCTAAGTCTATGCTACAAGATCTGGATTTTAAACACTAATATCAGTCAAGTCAGGGCTTCTATATGGTTCATTCAGAGACTTGGTGCGTTACGAAAAGCATTTCCAACAAACTACACATATACATCATCAATAGCTGTCTACACTCGATACTGACACTGAAGATCAGATGGCCAGAATAATAAGAATAAGCAACAAGGAACTCTGACTGGCTGGTAACGAACTAACCACGAACCTATCCTCCAATAAATATTCAGTAGAAGAAAGTGGAGATGGATTGGATTGGACATACACTGAGAAGACCGTTTGGGTGGATTACGCACCAGGCCAGGCCGTCAAGTAACACCCAACGAGGAAACGACGAGTGGGGTGTCCGAGTCGAGAGTGACATGGATGAGATAGTATGAGGAAGAAATGAAAGTTTGTGGGCAGTGGTGGAGCCAGGTCCAAAAGACTGCATAGGAGAGAGTGGAGTGAAGACGTTCTACTGAAGCCCTATTTTCCACTAGGAATCTAAAAGACAAATAATAATAACAAATAATGTTTATTATATTATTATTAGTCCCTTGGATTCTAGTGGAACATAGGGCTTCAGTAGCACGTCTCCATTTCATCCTGTTCTCTGAGATCTTTTGAACCTGGTCCCACGACAGCCCACAAGCTCTCATTTCCTCCTCGCACGATCTCCTCCATGTCACCCTCGGACGTCCAACTCGTCGCTTCCCCTGGGGATTCCATTCGAGGACCTGACGCGTGATGTCCTCAGTCGGCCTTCTCAGTGCATGCCCAATCCATCTCCACTTCCTCCTGCATATTTGTTGCGTGATAGGTTCTTGGTTGGTTCGTTGGCAACCAGCCAGAGTTCCTTGTTGCTTGTTCTTATTATTCCGGCCATCTGATCTTCAGTATGGGGCAAGCGTAGGCGGTAGTTGTTGATGAATGTCTGTAGTTTATTGGAAATGCCTTTCGTGACGCGCCAAGTCTCTGAACCACACAGAAGCACTGACTTGACGTTGGTGTTGAGAATTCGGATGTTGTTCCAATTGCTGAGTGCAGAAGATCTCCACACTGGTTTCAGGCTAATGAATGCCTGTCTTGCTTTTTCGATTCTGACTTTGACGTCCTCGTCCGTCCCGCCTGTAGTTGAAACAGTGCTTCCTAGATAAGTGAAAGAGGTTACTTCCTTTAAGTTTCTCCCGTTGACGGTGATTGGAGTTTTGTTGTTGGTGGTGGTGGTGGTGGTGCGGTATCTTCATCACTTCTGTCTTCTCTATATTCACTTGAAGTTCCGTCTTCGTTGCCTCTTCTGTTAACTTGTTAGTTTTCGCCTGTAGGTCTTCAAGTTTGTGTGGCATCAGGCACAAGTCATCGGCGAAATCCAGGTCTTCTAAGTTCTTTTCCGTAGTGCAGCGTATCACCCTCTTCTCGCTGCCCACTGTTTGCTGCATGATTCAGTCGACCACAATCAAGAATATCATGGGAGATAGTAGGCAAACTTGTTTCACTCCTGTCTTCACTTCAAAGGCATCACTGAGCTTTCCATTGTGAATTACTTGGCATATGTCATCTTCATATAGTTGTTGAATGAGGCGGATAAAGGTTTGCAGTACTCCGTAGTAGTGAAGCAGTTTCCAAATTACTTCTCGGTCGACGCTGTTGAAGGCCTTCTCAAAGTCGATGAAGTTGAGGTAGAGAGCTGATTGCCATTCTGTGCTCTGTTCTATGATGACGCGAAGCGTTGCAATTTGGTCTGCACATGATTTGTACTTCCTGAAGCCTGCCTGTTCCGGTCGCAGTTTTGAATCCAGTGCATCTTTAAGCCTCTCCAGGATGATGCGGCTTAATATTTTGCTTGCATTGGGTGGACAGGAGAGGGATTCCGTGTTAGTTCTTTCGAACACTGAGGTCTCCCTTCTTCGGCAGTTTGACAAGATAGTTCTTCTTCCAATCACTAGCCAGGTACCTTCTCTTCCTTCCACACCCTCTGCAATAGTGGTGTGAGCATGTCTGCTGTTGTCTGTGCGTCTGTTCTCAGTGCTTCTGGCGGGATCCCATCTGGTCCTGCTGCTTTCCCACATTTCAGTAGTTTTATGGCGTTCAGGACTTCCAGTTTCGTTGGAGGATTTATGTTCACTTGTACTTCAGCGGCTGCAGGTGGTATTTCTGGGCGAAGTGCAGGTGGTGGTCGATTCAAGAGCTTCTTGAAGTGGTCGGCCCATTGTTTCCTTTGTTTCTCTCTTCCCAGATAGCAACCTGGTTATTTGATACAATGTTGTCAGGTCTCTCTTACCTGCAGCCTGTTCTGCTTCACTTGCCAGTGTTCGTAGAAGTGTCTTTTGTCTTTGCGTGCACTCTTCTTCACTTCTTTGTCCAGCGTTTTATGCATTGCACTCAGTTCCTCTTCTCATTATTCATTCTTGCACTGGTTTGTCTTCTGCTTCACCATCCTCCTCTCCCTCCTCTATCAGCTTCCATGTATCCATTGAGATCCATTCCAGTCCTTGTCTTCTTTCTTATTCCTTGCTAATACGGCTGTGCAGGTTTCTTTCAACATCTCTTTCAAAGACTTCCAGTGTTCTTCCACACAGGTTTCTTCAGGGATGTTCCTCGATATCTCCCATTTTGTCTTGATGGCCCACGTGAAGATTCCTATGTAGTTTCGTCCTTCAGTTTCCGAGTGTTGTACTTGAATTGAGGTCTATCACCAGCTTCCTTGAAGGCTTTTATCTTGATTTGAAAGGTTCCTTGCACTAGATAGTGGTCTGAACCTACATCTGCTCCCCTTCTTGACCTTGTGTCAAGTAGACTGAGTCTCCACTTTCTTCACATTGAGATGAAGTCGATTTGATTATTAGTGTGTCCTGGTGTCTGGTGAAATCCATGTCGCTCGCTTTGTGGATATCTTTGTGCTTGAACACACTGCCTCATTCCAATCACCAAATCGTTGAATGTACAGAGTTCTGCAAACAATTCTCCATTCTCGTTCATCACCTCACCGAGCGCTTTTCGACCCATGGTTAGTTCTCTTCCTGTGTTGTCCGCTTCCAGTTTGGCATTCATGTCGCCCATTAGAATTTCGATATCACCAACTGAGGTCTTGTCCAGTGTTGATTGAAGTTGTCTGTAAAATTCCTCCTTTTTCTCTTGCTCTGCATTATTTGTAGGTGCATAGCGTTGTATGATTGTGACCTTCCTTCCTTTTGAGTTGAATCTTGCTGTCATGATCCTGGAAATAAATAATGTTAGACAGTTAGAATTGAATAGTTATCATTTTCTTCACAGTAATCGATTGTTGAACTATCATTAGTAGAAGTGATATTATGCAAGACGTATTGTTATTAATTCCAGTTGTGTTCACTTCTCCTTAATCATCTGCTTCTCCTTTCAGCTTTACTGGTATTGCCAATTGTTGTTGTTTCTCCTTGCATGCAGAAAACATTGTTCACAGTTGGGTGGATATATGAATATTAGTATTTCCATATACACACAAATGACTTCGCACAGTCTTACACATAATTACGTACACACACACACATATCAAAATTCACCTTTACATGTAAAGACATCATCAAGAGAGAATTATGTTCACTTATTTCGTCGATAATTAGTTTTTGGAGTCTTTTGTGTCATCTGATTGATTGCTTCCTTTTCCTGGATTATTTTCTTTAGTGCAGACTTTGTTTCTTCCCTTCTTGTTCAACCTCTTGTTTTCTGTTAATTCATCATATTAATTGATTGGTTGCCGGAGAGTAACTAACTTTGTGTTGTCTCGTCCTAAATGCTGGCTTAATCGTATGGATCAATTAAGATGTGGTTATAACGCTAAAAGACTCACCATCGCGGTACACTTTGATTGATGTAAGATACCTGGATGCCCTGGACTTAGATTTCGGGCTTATTGCCACTCGTCAACAAGACAGTGTCTGTCACCTCGACGAAAGTAATGTTACCTGACAGATTCGAACTCATATGACGCAGGTTCAGGCTTTCCTGTTGGCTATCTACAACCAATTAACATCCATCAACGTGTACTGTGATGATGAAACTCCTAGCTTGGTGATTAAATTGCTAAATGATCGATGGGATTCGGTCAGAACTGGAAAGTGAATAACCTGAACTTAGTTACCCTCCAGTGGCCAATCAGTTTATCTAGTCCTATCCTCCAGGAGGTCATTCGTGACTTGAATGACGTGATGGTAACGTATTTGGCCTCAGTAGTATATGGTGCAACTTTGAATCTCTGACGAGATATAAGTTCTTTTAGGGTTACAGTGACGTCTTGCTGATGGGTGCCAGCAACCACAAAACCTGGGTATAGAGTTTTGTATCGACTGCCTTCAACTACCATTCATCACATTCATCCTAATATTTTCTAAATGTGTGATGATAAAAGCTAATTTGTAATACATACTGTTACTTAGACGCTTACTGAGATGAAAGAGAATCCACCCTAGCCTGGAAGTTCACAGCGATAAATTCTTGTTGTTACGCTACATCATTGATCAAAATGAACTATTGTATTCCAACCGATTAACTGAATCGTAATGTGACTCATCTACAGACGTGATAATTCGGGGTTTCATACCGCGAATGTTCACTGTTGAGTAACATAACAGAAAAACTGCTCAATTCACATTCGTTTTCATGGTTGCTGTACCCGATGTTGATGCATGATGAAAACTGATTTTAAACCATCCGATTCGGCTTATTACTACAAGTACGTAGGTATACTACAGTTGCATGCCCCTATTCTCCGTTTGTTCCTATTTTTGTCCGGTTATAATTAAAAATGTTTTTGCGATATATTTTATCGGAACAGTTTAAAAAAAGGTGCTTTTATATGTTAATTATGCTAAACTGATCACTTAAGCATAACGACATAAATGCACAAACGTGTATACGGTAATACCAGTAGTATTACAAAACATTGTATTACCAATGACACTGCAGTTGTTTATTTTCTATTCGGTTTGTTGTCTTACTTTAAAATGAAATTCAGTAGTGTAGTAATAGCCGCTAAATTTGTTGGTTTTTCCCTCTTAAATTTATCATTTACAGAAATAGTCAAGCTGTGAATTTCGATTCTCGTGAAATGCATATGGCTGTTCAACAAGAATTACGATTACGTAGTCGTACTATACACACTGCTGCTTCAGCCTCTGGTGGATCAGTTTCTGGGCGTGCATCATCAATCAGTTCAGCAGATGGTTCTACAGAAGCTACAATTGGCTCGAGTAGTCAAACATCCATTCCTAATGGTGTAAAATGCAATCACGCCATTCACCATCATCATCCTCATCATCATCACCACCATCATCATCATCATACAGCAAAACGTCGCTGTTCACATCATTGTTGTTTCAGTAATGGTTAACACTAAGTATATCCCCCATCATCACTATGATTGTCACTGTGACCCAACATCACTATTGTCATGAGCATCAGCCATAACTACTACATACTTTACAGTTATTAAATTGTTTTTTTCTTATATAGTATTTCACTTGTTGTACAGCTACACTATTGATCTGTGATTAGTTTATCTACGCTTACTGTTGTCATTTGTTTTCTCTGTGTTTCTGACCCTTTTTGTCTTTTTTTGTTTGCTTTTTATATTTAATCCAAATTAGCATTGCATACAGCAATGAGAATAGTATGAATATGAATAGTAATCACAGTCTTTAAAGACAATGTAAAGATTCCTTTATACCTTTAATATCATCTCCCTTTTTTGAATTATGAATGGATCTATTATGCTAGTGATGCATTCATTAAAGCGGAGATTGTAAACATCACAGGTGGCAGGCAGATGATCGATGAGTTCACAGAGAGAGTAGGTCAGTTGGTGGGAAGTATTATAATTCACCTTTTTCACTGTGTATATGTCTGTTTGCCTCTTTATTTGCCTGATTTCTACACACCGTTTATAAATTCCACTGTTTGTAAAAAAAAAATTCTTTTTAAAGAAAAAAGGCAGATTGAAAGGAAACAAGAAAAATACAAGTATACATAATCTTTTTATTTATTTATTTATTTTGAAGATGAACAGATAAGTAGAACACTCCGAAATCATTTTGTCATTTATCAATCTCTGTCTAATCACACTTCATCTGGCTGCTAATTTGAACTGACAGACACTTGTTCAGTCTTAAGGCCACTGTTGTTTGTCTGTGTGTGGGTGGGTGCGTGTTTTTCTTGGAAATAAAGACCCTAATTACCATTTACAGCATCATAGTGTGTTCTCCTTCTCTTTGTCGACGTTTATTCTCCTTTTGTTACTGTTATTGTATTCGGTGTTTTTATTTCTTTGTTTCCTTCAGGTTGTCTTTATCTTTGTTCATTACATAATCCAATAGATCAACTAGTGTAGGCATTGTTGCTCTTATGTGTTTGTCTTCTAGTTTTTTATTTTTCTACAATTCATTATTTTTTTTGATTTGCACCGTCTCTTTGATGTGGCTGTTTGTTTATTCTGTTGAAGTTTACTGTTTTGTTTATGAAACAACACCACATATTGACAGATATATGGATGCTTGTCATATATATGCATGGATTTTGGTTGATAATATTACTAAGGTAAATATCCGAATGTTGAGCTTCTTTGTCACTATGTGTATGTATGCGTGATTCATTTTCATTCTAACTTTCTCTTGCACACCAAACTTCTCTTGTATTCGTATTGATATAATTCGCTGTTATCATTACTTCATATCTCTTTCCCGTTCTCACAGACCCAAATGATAGGTAAGTGAGAAACTTTCAAAAATCTCTCCTCTATGTTCCCCTCTGTCTTAACTGACACATGTAAACAATGAAAAGCAGCAGCAGCAACAGTGATACGGCGAGTACCGTGTTTGCATCCTCCTCTTTCTTGTTTTGTTGTCATTACCCGCCTCAGTTTTTGTTTCCCTTATCCCTACTGGTCTATCTTCGTCAGAAGGTGTATTCGCACACTTATTCTTTCTTTGTCTGTCTCCTTCTCCCTTTTCTTGTGTATGTATATGGGTGTTTAGCTGTCTATCTTATAAGGTATTCTTCAGGAACAATTCATGTGTTATTTATCCACTGATTATATCTCAGTTATTCGTTGTTGTTTTTTTGCTGGTCATTGTATATTCATTGGAAAAATATCTACCAAGTATGTACATACGCATTACATGCATTCATACATACATACGTACCTCTCTCCCCCCCCCCCACACACACACACACTGGAAATACGTGGAACCAGCTAACGAACATATATTATACCAAAGGCATTACAGTCAAAAATACTATTTCCAATGCATAAAACAACAAGAAGAGAAGCGCATGAAAACGTTTGCCGTATATGTGTTACTTCATGTATAATTAACCAGCATATTTTGACTGTTGTTGTTGGTTTTTCCTTATGGTATATAAAAACGTCTATTGCAGATTATTTGATAAGAGTATGTATGTTTTAATTCATAGATAGTGTTGACAATCCACGCACAACTATCCACTAACCATTACGTGGCATCTTGTTTGTGGTGAATTGAAGCGCTTTTCATTCTCTTTGTTTTACACTTAGTGTTACCAGTTTAACTATCTGAGATAGCTGTGGTTTGGTAGACTTGCACTACTACTGAGTGATAACTGGCGATGTGTTCATTGTTACTGCTCTCGTTCAGGTGTCCTGTTTTGTCCTATAGATTAATGGATTGGGGGAAATACCAATTAATGTTACCAGCTATCATTATTAATATTTATTGCACTAAGTTACTATATTCCTATTGATCCTGCTACTAATAACTGACTGAAAGAGAACCTGACAGTTTAGGAAAATATATAAGATGTACAGCTGATTCTAAGGGCCAACCTGGCTTCCACTGAAATAGCCAATTTGGTATTTCGGTTAGAAAGGTATTTTTTCAATGAAATAAAGAAATCTAATTGGTTATTCCAGTAATTGCTAGGTTGGCATTTGGGGTCACTGAAGATGTACAAGGCCTTAAAGCTGTAGATAGTCTACGCAAGATATCAATCGATATAAATAAACAAAGGAATGATTGGTCTTTTTTTCATTCACTTGCGTATAGCGTATAACACGAGTGACTCTAGGGATCACCCTAGCGACTACTGAAATAACCAATCAGGTTTTGATATTCTGATGGAAGTGAAGAACAGTAATTGGTTATCTCAGTAGTCTATAGGATACACTTTAAAGTCATTCATATAATACTTTCTACTCTAACTACTGAGGATGATATATAGTGTGATTAGTACGCACTGTGTGAAATGTTCGAATCCTACTTTCACGCTGTGAAAAGAGAAAGCAGAAAATCACTTAAATCCATATCTGACTAGAATAAGTCGACGATTCAAGAAGTTCCCTTTCATCCTAAGTTTATGGTGAAGCCAACAGCAGTGTTATTGTCGTTTATATCCTACGATCTACGTTGTGTTACAATTTATATATATGTATACATATCACTAAATATAAGTACTATTATCTTCTGTCTATTGATGCTAGTTTCTTACTAAGTCTCCACATAACAATAACTTCAACGTTTTCTCACACATGCATATGAGAATAATGGTTAGAATAGAGAACTTTCACTGTTTCAGTAAAAGACAAAAGCAAATCTAAACATAGGCTACACGCTTATACTCTGGCATTTCGCTCTTGTATACAATGGAAAATAATGATACATTAAAATTACAGTAAACCAATGAAAGAAAACTTTGAGAGTAACAATGTACTGACCACAGCGCGAGAAAAGGCGGGTGGAGTGACCAACGTGAACGATGCTAACACGATGAGATACTTGGACCAGATAACAATAGCGACTGTTCTCCCTCAGAACCTTATACTTCACTGAGCCATGAAAATCAGAAGACAAAGGCCGGCCTATAGCTGTAAGGAAGACACTTTATTCAACAAAAATACATCACTTATGTACAATTTTCATGAACATTTAAAACCACTAGTTCAATAGTTGGATATTTATTTTGATTGATGAACTAAAAGACAATTGTCCAATAAGGTTTTTCCTGACCACACAGTAACATGAAACAAAAGTTGAAATCTAAAAATTCTATTTTAGGGGGTGATGAATTAAAATGTTGATTTCTATGTAGGTCGCTTCCTATAAGCAAGAAAATGATAAATCCGAATTCATTAAAAATTAAAAGTACACTTTTGAAACAATATTAGGACATCCTAACAATAGAATATTTTTGAAGTATCTTCTGAAGTTCAAAAGAAAATTGGAACTTTTTCATAAATTGATATAACTGAACATTTTTGTCCCCATGAGAGTTAGTTACTGTTCATCTGATAAATGATTACACCTATCAGTTAAACAATACCAGTGTTTAAAGATTAAAATAGTAATTCAATACAAAAAATGTAGCTTTTATTGTTGAAAGATGTCGAATTCCTATTGGCATTAGTGACAGGGTGAAATATCCACTGTAGGTCAAAAGGTAACACCGATTGCTGAATATATATGAGCCGAAAGGGAACTGTCTAGGTAATTTTCCATAGGTGTTTATCTTCACTACATCTGACCAGATAAAAGGGACAAAAACGAATGTGATACACTTAATATTATTATTTGTCCCTTGGGTTCTTAGTGAAACAGGGCTTCAGTAGCACGTCTCCATTCCACTCTCTTCTGTGCAATCTTTTGAACCTGGCTCCACGACAGCCCAGAAGCTTTCATTTCTTTCTCACACCATCTCCTCCATGTCACCCTTGACTCGGATGCCCAGCTCGTTTCCCATCTCGGTTCCACTTGAGTGCCTGGGCGCGATGTCCCCAAATGGTCTCCTCAGTGTATGCCCAATCCATCTCCACTTCTTTCTGCATATTTGTTGTTGGGGTGAACAGGAGCATGATTCCTCTCCAGTCCTTGCAAACACTTAGGTTGCCCTTCGGCACTTTGACAAGATAGTCCTTCTTCCAGTCAATCCGCAGGTACCTTTCCTTCTTTCTAAACCTTCTGCAATAGTGGTATGAGCATGTCCGCTGTTGTCTCTGTGTCCACTTTCAGTGCTTCTGGCGGGATTCTATCTGGTCTTGCTGCTTTCCCTCATTTCAGTAGCCTAATGACGTTCAGGACTTCGACTTTCGTCAGAGGGCTTGTGTTCACTTGTAGTTCTGTGGCTGGGCCGCAGGTGGTATTTCTGGACGAAGTACAGGTGGTGGTCTATTCAAGAGCTTTTGAAGTGGTCAGCCTATCGTTTCCTTTGTTTCTCGTCTTCGATAATCAGATTTCCTTCATCATCTTTTATTGGTGTAATAAACTAAAAGAGGGATTAATTACAATAGAATTACTTTCCACTGTTCATTTATAGGCATGGTGTGCTGCTTTCGTTGAAAAGCAAAAAATACTTTAAAATACCATCAGTACATTTCGAAAATAGCTGTTTACAGTAGAATTGTGTACTGCATAAGCTATTAACAAATTTCTGCTTGTGGATATTAGACTTTTTAAAGCCAATGACATTAAATTCTACTCGACCTGGATTTTGAGTATATCGGCACTCCTCAGCAAGACGTATATACAACCTAAAGCAGAGACATGTTCCCTCGATTTTAACGTTAGCACAAAATATATATATGCTGGATAGTGGCTTTTAGTGGAATTCAGGTGGTGCATTTCATCTTATTTAGGACTCACAATGAGTCAGAAACATCCAGCTGGCGATACCCAAATAGGACGAAACCCACGTCCTGGATTCTACTGTTAGCCACTATCCATCATAAATATATATTTAACACACAGGCGATATCGAGGCATCCGCACAGAAGCCCATATGCCAATAGAGACCTATTAATTTGATCCAATCAACGATGGGATAATACAAGCAACAACATTAGTACAAAATGTTTACATTCTGTTCATGATCTTTGTCTTATACGTGTGTATTCAACCTGTTGAGAAACATCAGATGTGAAAACATAAATAACTTAAGATTACTACCACATATCTTTCGAAAACCTTTTTAAGCGTTTTTATAATAATTTTTCAATAGGAACGTACAACGACAAAACATCAACCGATCATAGTTTACATAATCCTACGCATGTGTGGGCACACCAGTCGGTTTCAAGACCGAGTAAAATTGCCATTTATGAATAACTATTTACTTCACTCATTTTGTGGTGCTGCACTGTTGATTCAGACTAGTATGAAAGATATAGCAATGTTAGCTATTGAAAACTGTAGTCTAAAGAGTGATTCGATATGGATATCTGAAACATGAGATACATGTATCTCTTCAATTGATTGAAGATAAATAGGATATTTAGTAAGTAAAGCCTAACCACTGAGATTGATTTTGAGCCATCTAACGAAGAATTTCTAACCACTGGTTTCTAGTATCCTAGGCATCCTGAAAAAGTAACAGTACACGAACCAGGTCAATAATCCTAAACTCTATGGGTTATTTTTGTAATGACATTTTTCATTTCCCGTTGCCATGCAGGGCAACAGCTGATACCGGTTGCACAGAAGGTGGTTATCATGCCTCACTGGCTTAGTGGATAACGCTCTGGAGTTTGAAGCGGAGGATACTGGGTCCGAGCCTCGATGGGGACATCACTCACTAGGGTTCAGGTACATTCAGCTGACACGTCCTAAATAGGACGAAACACGTATCCTGGATTTCTCTGTTAGTCAACAAGACCAATATAAGTTTATGGATTATTGCTGTACTATGAATTACCTACGTCTTTCATTTCAGGCTAGTCCCGTTTCACTTGTATGTGCAAGTCACGGTAAGTGATGCGTTAGTGTGCACCACTTGTTTCTCAGTTGGTGAAGGTTTACTACCTGACTTAACTCCTCAGAAAGGAACTCTGAATCTCTACACTTTTCATCCCATGATTCCAGTATACGAGGGCGGTATTATAAAGAAACCTACGGTCAAAACTTGTAACATGCTTATATTAACCCCCCATATGCATGCTTCTGAACTAATGATGGGAAGAGAGTATATCTGCTGTGCTGTATATTCACCATTAAGTATGTTATTCGATATCTTTCAGAAGCTTTTAATAACTTACATTGGCAAAGGTGACTTTCAAGATGCAATCCTTAAGCACAGACTTACTATTGCTATTAGGACTTACTATGCAGTTACAGTTCGGTTGGTATAAAGCAACAGGCCTGTATACTCTCCCAAACTTTTACAGCATGTGAACGACAATGTCACATCTCACTGGGTCTGCCAATTCAAATGTACGTGCGGTTAAACATACAAAGGGGGGACACATGGATTCATACCAGTAAGAGCCTTACACCACTCTCGAAAGTGGGTTCAGGAACAATTTGAATCACAGACGTTTGTAGCAGACATTCAAGCTCTTCAATCACGAAAACTGCAGCTGAGACAGGCCCCAGGATTAACCCTTCTACTTTCTTCTTGACCGATTGAAAAAACATGATGGGAACGGATCTTTAAATTTGTTGACACCTTAGATATTGGAAAAGTTAGGCCACCTTTGTGTGTTCAAAAACAATTTGTTATCACAAATTGTCTTCAGCTTTGTTTCGGCTTTGAATTGAACTCCTATGTACTATTATTTTCGCTTTATTGATTTTCATTGTCATTTAGCCTTGAATTTAACCTTCCTACTTGATCTCCTCTCATATTCTCACTGATTGTTTCTTTATAAATTTTCTTGTAAATATCTATGACAAATACGTGTGTGACCAGATTGTTCGAAATGTGTTGCGCAAATGCACTACAAGGTTTCGACTATCTACATATTCTGAATGTTTTATAGAGGTTGATAAAGGGAACTAATTGTACAATTGCTTGTATTATACTATCGTTGACTGGACCGGTGGGAACAACATTCACTGGGAGGCGGGTACATCTAGCTGCGTATCCTGGATTCCACTGCAAGCCACTATCCGCTATTACTATGATTGGAACTAATCGTTTTAATTTATATTGGTAAATCAAGGGATTTTCGTAAATGAGTGGATACTTCATCAGTAACATGCCTGTCAGAGATAGTGCAACATCTTAAATAGGTTAATTAGTTTATATGTGCTACCATTTTACTTTCTGTTCTAATAGTAACTGTGTTAACATACCATCGACACTCATTTTAAATATATTCCGGTTCCTGTCCACTGTATTCAAAATGATGATACTAACAAAAGTATCTGATGAAAACCACACGGTTCCGGAAATTTAACTCCCCAGTGCCTTCACAAAGATACAGAAAACTTCTTTGTTCACCTACACTTCAACTATGTTTGGTGTTGATTTTTTTCAGTTTTAATCAAATTGCTTACTTTGAAGTGCGCAGTGAAGTACCAACGCCATTGGGATTATGTTCATACTACGCTGCAGACTTGTCAGTCAACCTATATACCTACCTTCGTTTGGAGGTACGAATCTGTAAGTATGCGTTTTTATCGTAGGTCACTTCATGTTCTTTCTTGGTCTTAGATTCATTTTTTAAACATGAACAGTAGCAAAGAGATAGAATATTCCTTCAGTTGCAGAATTATTGCTTGATTTCTAGGTTTATAAACTTTGGTTATGAGAATACACAGGTTGAAATGCATATCTGAATTACTGATAAGCACTCAAAGTTGTCTTCGATAACCGAGTTTACTTTCATGTACTATAAGTTTTCTTTGATAAATACTCGGTATTCCTTTCTTCCATTTCACTCTGTGCATTATCTCCTTTAGTGTTCACGTTGATTCATTACTGTAATTCTTCAACAGAGAAATGAGTTGTGAACTCTAAAAAGACACTTTTGTCAGCAATACCGGTCGCAAGACATGACTAGAATATGCTATAAGCCTAAGTAGGCTTACGAGTTAGAGTCAATAAAAGAGATAAAACTGACAATCAGAGACGCTATGTGATATGGATGGAATCGATCACAGAGGAGCAGATGAATCCAAGCTTCATATTCATTTTAACTGTTGCATCAAACTTCATTTCTTGCTTTATACCCTTTTCTTTTCAACCGATAACTTTCGACTGTAACATTTCTATTCTCTTGTCTTTTATGTTGTGATTTTTATTTGCTAATTTGAAGTCTAACAACACGGACAGTTAGGTAATAATGCTAAGTTCAGAGTTGATATTGGCTAATTGACGTTCAAGGTGTTCAATAACATGAATATTATACTTACTTAACAGTATAAATTATATTCGCTGAATTTTTTTGTCCAATTAACTATTAAACTACAATAGCGATTATTTGTTCATTTTTGCTAAAGAAGCATACTTCTTTATTCTTAACGTTTTTCGAGATAACACCAGTTTACTTTAGTACGTTGATAGTAAATGAGCACCGATTGATTTTCAATGAATGTTGAAGCTGAGTATTCCGTTTGATTTGTGTTAAAGAACAATGATGACAATGAAAGAATAAAACTGTCTTTGAAGTACTAATTTTTAGATAATTCCCTTTTGAGGACATGGTTTGTGGTTTACCTACTAAGATTTACCTAGCAGGATAGTATTACTAGCCACAGACAATAAATACATAGATCATAGCTTACTATATGAACATGCATATGGTTAATCCGATAGAAGTTCATAAGTGCCTTTCATACTGAAGTATACTTCAAGACGGTATTCTTATTCATCCCTCCTGAAGAGTCATAGATCAGATACACTAACTCATCAACACTATAACTCAAGAATTGGTTACCAGAGGGCAACCGATGTCGGTGTCTATTCTATAGGGCTCAACACCAACCAAATTATATCCATCAAGTTTGCAATATGACGTCTAACATTATTGGTCAGTGTTAAGCACTAAAAACCTGACAGCTACATCGATTACCCACTAATGACCATAATTTAGTTACACAATCGGTCGATCAACTTGGTGGTCAAGTCTCTAACTTCAGAAATGAGTGACGCAGTCTAGAAAAGCTGACAGGTTACCAGTTTTCTAATGGCTACAGATAAATATTATCTGACTGACTCCTAACACAGTATACTTCTAATAACATAAAACATTTTAGTGAAGCATATACTCATGTAATCTACCTCTTTCTAGCTTTACCACTAACTTGCAGGCAGAAAAATATCATCCATTTCTGCTTGCGAGAAATACAATTTATCAAGAGCTGCGAAAATATGTAACTCAGGAATTATGTATGTGGTCTTATACTTGGTTATAAGCTACATTTTTACTGGACGTCAAAATGTCGGCAGGAGGTACGGAAATGTCCGGAACAATGTGACACGACTCCGTTTACTACTGGCCCTTAGGTCAGTATCGTTTTCTTTTAATACAAACGATTTATTGTCCATCAAAGTTTTATTTATACTGATATTTAATGCAATAGATTCTTGCAATAAGCGATTGGAAGTAACTAATCCAAAGTTCAATAGGTTGAAACTCACTTATATTGTTCTCAACTCTACAGATATCAAATTTTGCTTGCTAAGTCATCAGGTACTTTTGCAGCTGGTGAATATAACATTATCACTTAACTATCTGAGGTAGGCGTAGTTTGGCAGACTAGTATTTATACTGGGTGATGATTGAAGGTGAAATGAAAATTTGAACCGCGGCCGGACTCGAACTAGCGACCACCGGGTTTCCTGTCCTATGCTCTACCAAATTTTCACTTCACCTTCAATCACCACCCAGTATGAATACAACATTGTCTATATAAAACTCCTGTCCTTGCTAAAATTATTTATCACTGAAGTCAAAGATTTCATCAAATAAAATCATCAAGATTAGAATAATTCAAAAATCTCTACTGCTCAATCACTAACATTCCTAGCCAGCTGTTAGGCTTATAAAAGCTTTGCATTGATTGGTCACTAGAAGGCAACCAATTTCATACTGTCTAGTCCTAAGCACTGACTGAATTCAATCGATCATTTTGCAATATGGCCACCAAGCTACGAGGCCCACTATCGTGGTGCACTTGGTTGGTTGGAGGAAACCAGCAGGAAGCCCAGGACCTAGGTTTCGTGCTTGTTGGCACTCGTTAGCAAGGTGTATCTGCACCCTCGAAAGAACTGGTGTCCCGTTTGATATCTGAATCAGCGTGACCCGGTGCTGTAGTCAGTAATGTCGCCACTGAGCTACTCGAGTAGTGACTGATATCCTATAGGACTGGATTGCATACATTAATTAGCCACTGGAGGACGATATATTCCATGCTGTCTCGTCTTAAGTGTCAACCAAATTCAATCGGTCATTTTGCAATTTGGCCACCAAGCTGTGTCAACCGCATAAACAGCAGTCTTTACCCCTA